TGAATATTTGCAATTTATAGAATCTGCTGGATTTTTCATTAGGCGCGTGTGTTTGTGCATGTGTGTGTGTGTGCTCACCTTGTCTGTGTGTGAGGTAACTGAGGGAGTGTGTGGTCCCGTTGACAGTGGTCTTGCAGGAGAACAGGCCGATGTAGAAGTAGGTGGGACTGTGGATGAGGAAGCCCTGTCTGCTGTTCCACACTATGTTCCTCTGGTCTGGGGTCAACTCCTGGTCAGGGAACTGGAGGCATGAACACACACGGTCAAGACCACAACCATAAAGACAGTCTCATAAAAGCAAAGACACAGAAGCAATGTCTGGTTCTGGGATATGATCAACTTGCGGTCAGGGATAAGAAAACATGGTCATCAACCACAGCCACTTCATGAACTCAACACAACCACAACTATTTTGTGAACTCAACCACCAACCAATCATGAACTCAACACAATCATGTAATGAGCTATTCAGAACCACAACAACATCCTGAACACAACACAACCATACCAACACTGCACACATTCACAACTCCTGAGCAAATCATGAACACACAACCAAACAGAACAACATGGGGGCTATTAAGGACTAACATGAGGCCACAATGTTAAAACATGATGAATATTATTGTTGCAATAAAACTAAACAAAGTAACTTGACAACCTCACAATACGCTCTCAACGACAGACACTGACATTACGTAAATGCTCAGACATTTTCACCCTGCTGATGCGGATTCTGTCTGTGGAGACAGAGTCTTGTGTTACTGTGGAGACAGAGTCTTGTGCTACTGTAGAGGCAGAGTCTTGTGCTACTGTAGAGGCAGAGTCTTGTGTTACTGTAGAGGCAGAGTCTTGTGTTACTGTAGAGACAGAGTCTTGTGCTACTGTAGAGGCAGAGTCTTGTGCTACTGTAGAGACAGAGTCTTGTGTTACTGTAGAGGCAGAGTCTTGTGTTACTGTAGAGGCAGAGTCTTGTGTTACTGTAGAGGCAGAGTCTTGTGTTACTGTGGAGACAGAGTCTTGTGTTACTGTAGAGGCAGAGTCTTGTGTTACTGTGGAGACAGAGTATTGTGTTACTGTAGAGCAGTGGTCACCAACTGGTCGATCACGATCGACAGGTCGATCTCCAAGGCATTCCTAGTCGATCCCCAAACATTTCTGTAAAAAACCCAACGATAAAGCCTTGCGTTCCTATTATTTGTTTCGCGCTGTTGGAGGTAGGTGCACTTGATTCAGAAGCCCTAGCGCCAGGACGGCAAAGTGTTCCCAATTTGAACCATTTCATGTGTCTGAAGGTAGAACTCCGCCTACCCGGAAGGCCCAGACAGCAAATCAAGTGCACCTGTAGGCCTACCGCAGGCCAATCAGATAGCTCAGATCACTGTGTCTGCACAGTTTCCTTGAGCCATAGACTGTAAAAAGAAGCCTCGAACGCACAGCAAAGTTGATAATGTGAGATTTCAAAACTCAACGACTACAGCAAAGAGCTGCTATTTTTATGTGTAAGTTCATGTTTAAGTTGTTATTCAGCACTGTCAACACTGTGTATTCAACACTTTTATAAGCCATAAAATGCGAGTTCTCCCTACTTCCACACTTTACAACCAGTACTGCAGCTGTAATGAATGAGTATAGCAAAGTGTTCGATAAGCTTGCGTTGTTATTATTAGCGGCTTGTGTCTTTTTTAATGTCGAGGAATATTTAACTTTCTCTGGTCATAGGAGTAACAACATGAATTAGTGCATGAGGCAGAATTAATGCTTTGCGACTTGAGTTTCGCCATCAGCTGGAAGACGGTGTCCCCTTTTCTCATCGGAGGGAAAGAGGGTGGAGGGACGGTGAGGCGGGTGAGAGGCAGCCTCACCTCTGCTCCCTCCCTCCCCTCAGACTGACCATCGGATGCAGGCCATGCTCCCTCTAAGCTGCATGCATGCGCGTGCTCGGGCGTGCAGCTCCCCGGACTGCCACGCAGAAGAAATATGTGCCCGCGCAGAGAAGCACTAAATTGAACTTCATTCAACTTTCTACATTTTCCCCCTTTAATGAACACTATCAACGTTTCCCTCAACTGTGGGAACTGTGATCAAATCAACGCAATATTAGCCACTTTCAATGTAATATTCTGAAACAAAACAAACTATGCAAGATTTAGTATGCAAAAGTAACTGTGCAAGAGATTTTCTTTCAGGCAGAGCATATTTTAGTGTGATGCTGTTGCATTGACAGGTACAACTCAGGCACAGATTGGTTGCGCCATAACCAATTAGAGCTGCAGTAGGCCTATATACAAATAGCCATTGCCATATATGGATCTGTGCCATTCACTTTGAACTGGACTGTGTTTAGGCTACAGTATGAGCGGTCGCGAGTAGATGCGCTTGTTTTGAGTTCAAAGTGAGAGCTGTATGTAGCCACGTGTGTACATTTGTTCATATTCTTTGCTAGTTAGTGAGTTATTAGCCCAGTTATAGCTCATTTCTAGGCAACAATGGGGGAGTGGTTGCTTCCAACAAGAGCACAAAATGTGTGCATTTCTAGCCATCTTTGAAAAGCAAGTCAGGTAAAGAGCTTTTTTTATGTCTTAAAGGAGAAGTGTTTTATTTTGAGACAGTCTTGAAAAAGCTAAGTAGCCAATAGACAGAGGTTAGCATAATTAGTCTGATTCTCTGTAATAATGGTATGGGAATAACAATACATTTTATTTTGTAAAGTGGTTTCTTGCATGAAACACAACATTTTCAGTCACCTCCTTGTCTGAAGGACAAGTGGATAAACAGGTTAATCTCAAGCCCTGCATGTTTGTTTTTTCAAAAGTCTCATGCAATGTAGGCATTGAACACCACAGAATGGCTGCTACTGTAGGCTGAATGATAGAACAGCTATTTCCATGTTAAAATGTTATGGGATGCGATTTTCTCCATTGTTTTTGATGATAGGCCACTCTGGTAGGCCTACATTATGATCAAATAGCCACAGTAGCCTACTTGGCCACTGTTATAACAGTAATTTAAAGCGGGTACAGCCTCAGTGTTCACTGTAAACGCCTGCCGGAAGTTGCACAGAATTTTCACAACTTTCAAATTTTGCGCTCAGCAGACCTGAAATTTGCTCAGTGCTGAAAAGAATTAGAGGGAACATTGGATGCAGGCCACCAGTCCAGTAAAAAAAGAAGTAAATTATTATGCTTACTTAGCTGTGCCTCACAAGTAATACAGCAAATGATCTATTACCAGTGTGATCATATACCTACATGTTTTAAATAAAATGTCAATGGTCTGAGAAGAACAACATTGGCAGGGTAATTCAAGCACAGTCAATGCAGTGATAATGTATTGGGCCTATAGCCTACTGCACAAACCTCACTGCTTCAGAACTGTTTTTAATTGCTTAAAGTTGCATAGGCTTACATTTTGGGTCTCCCGAGTGGCGCAGTGGTCTAAGGCACTGCATCGCAGTGCTAGCTGTGCCCCTAGAGATCCTGGTTCGAATCCAGGCTCTGTCGTAGCCGGCCGCGATCGGGAGACCCATGGGGCGGCGCACAATTGGCCCAGCGTCGTCCAGGGTAGGGGAGGGAATGGCCGGCAGGGGATGTAGCTCAGTTGGTAGAGCATGGCGTTTGCAACTTCAGGGTTGTGGGTTCGATAAAATAATGTATGCGCTAACTGTAAGTCGCTCTGGATAAGAGCGTCTGCTAAATGACTAAAATGTAAATGTAAAATTTTGTAAATCATGTTTAAAAATAATCTGAGCGGTAGATCTCGGCTTGCATTTTGACTCAGAAAGTGACTTGAAGTGGTCAGTAAAGGTTGGTGAGCACTGCTGTAGAGAAAGAGTATTGTGTTACTGTAGGGTGGAGATGGGTTGAGGGCGGTTGGAGGGTGAGCGAAAAGTCAGGATGTGGGAAATGTGACTTCAGTCCATCTACTCACATCCTGTTACTACAGGATATAGACACTCAGACTGGACTGAATTGGACCCCAAGTCATACTACACCTCCTCTCCCCTCGCCTCGCCTCCTCGCCCGACCGGGTCACTTTCACGGCTGCAGCAAGAAAGAATGGCCCCCTGGGCAATTGTTCCCTGCTGAGAGGTGGGCCGGACAGATTAAAGATCCAGGCAGAGCGCAAAATCCTTCCAGGAAAAAAACACACTCCATAGTGTATGACAGAGTGTGTGACAGAGTGTGTGACAGAGTGTGACAGAGTGTGTGACAGAGTGTGTGACAGAGTGTGACAGAGTGTGTGTGTGAGGAGTGGACTCCAGGTTCGAAATGCTGGGCCAGGTCGGGACGGATGGCGGGAGGGAGGGGACGAGGGAACAGGGGGTATTTTTAGAATAATTACCTTCGGGGCTCAGGTTCGGGCATTTGTGTGGAGATGGGAGCAGGAAGTAAACACAGAGAGCAAACAGAAGTGAAGTGAAGTGTGTGTGTGTTCTGCCGCGCTTCGTTTCAGGGTCAGGTCCAAGGCACATCCTGAAGGGAGAGCCAGGGACGAGAGGAGAGTGAGAGATGACTGAGGGGTTCGTTTGGTTCTTTGGCTCTTTTTCCGTTTCCTGAAACTCTCCTTGGAAAGACAATTCATTCATTAACCTGATAAACTGCCAGTAGCCCACTCCCCTCACCTGAATGTTGTTCAATTGTATTGATCAAACTGTGCAATCTCTGCCACAGAAGAGGCTACCTACGTACAATACTACTCTTAACAGATCTGCCTGAGGGGCATGCCTTGCCTTGCTAGCGCCAGTCAGTCCAGCCCATTACTACTGGCACCTCAGCTTCCTCTGGCCAGGATACCAGCTGGTTAAGGAATCAGGAGGAGGTTGGCAGCCAGACCGCCTTAGGAGAGGGGGGGTGTGTGAGTAGAGGGGAGGGTTGGCGGAGACAGGGGGCACTCCAGACCCCACGTCCTGTCTCCGGGGGTAACAACAGTGCCAACAGGACGACAGAGGAAACCATGGGCGCCGCTGACTCGGAACACAGCAGTAAAAAAGAGGCATCTCTGACACACTGAGACGTTGCCACAAACAGCACCCACGCATGCACACACACACAAATTGCACTTCATTGCACTTACCTCACACTCTCTCACTTACTCACCACTCAGGCACCAACACTCACAAACACATCCGCACACTTTCACACGTATCCACAGACTGACACAAACAAACGGACACACACACTCCAAGGCAGAACGGTTGCCAAGATGAGAACAATGATCTGTCCTAGGAGAAACAACCGGACTGTGACTTGTGTACAGATTGGAGTGCTGATGGAGAAACAGAGAGAAGTGTATTGTTCTAAGATGTAGTCAGGAGTGCTAGTTGTGGAAAAAGCTAGGTACCTGACAACAACACTACATTGTTGTCTTTCCATGTTTGACAATACACTGACAAGCTGTCTGAAGCAGAAACAGGCTGTCACTCAGAATAAGTGGAAGGGAGAGTAATTTCGATTGTAAAGTTGAGTACCTGAGGTGGAGAATGTGACTTGTTTTGAGGTTCTAGTAATATATTAAACTACATCTTTCAGGTTTTGTGTGTGTGTGTCAGAACCCGGCGTTATGCGGGCCTGGCCCGCACTACCATACCTCCTTGCCCTTCCAAATAAAATATTGAAATATTTATCATTTATTTGACTGAGACGCACGCCAACAGAAAGACGGGTCAATCTTAGTTAAAACATCCGAGTGAGCGAAACAGTGCCCTTCTGTCTCAGTATGTGTAGATCATGTATCTGATGCTGTCTGGACCAAAAGAGCATGGCATGTCATACTATTTCTGGCCAGACAGCATCAGATACACGGACTACATATACAGTGCATTCGGAAAGTATTCAGACCCCTTCACTTTTTCCACATTTTGTTATGTTACAGCCTTATTCTAAAATTGATTAAATAGTTTATTCCCCTCATCGATCTACACACAATACCCCATAATGACAAAGCAAAAACAGGTTTTTAGAAATATTTGCACATTATTTACAAATTAAAAACGGAAATATTACATTTACATAAGTATTCAAACCCTTTACTCAGTACTTTATTGAAGCACCTTTGGCAGCGATTACAGCCTTGAGTCTTCTTGGGTTTGACGCTACAAGCTTGGCACACCTGTATTTGGGGAGTTTCTCCCATTCTTCTCTGCAGATCCTCTCAAGCTCTGTCAGGTTGAATGGGGAATGTCACTGCACAGCTATTTTCAGGTCTCTCCAGAAATGTTCGATTGGGTTCAAATCCTGGCTCTGGCTGGGCCACTCAAGGACAGTCAGAGACTTATCCCGAAGCCACTCCTGCGTTGTCTTGGCTGTGTGCTTAGGGTTGTTGTTCTGTTGAAAGGTGAACCTTTGCCCCAGTCTGAGGTCCTGAGCACTCTGGAGCAGATTTTCATCAAGGATCTCTCTGTACTTTGCTCCGTTCATCTTTCCCTCTATCCTGACTAGTCTACCAGTCCCTGCCGCTGACAAACATCCCCACAGCATGATGCTGCCACCACCATGCTTCACCGTAGGGTTGGTGCCAGGTTTCCTCCAGATGTGACGCTTGGCATTCAGGCCAAAGAGTTCAGTCTTAGCTTCATCAGACCAGATAATCTTGTTTCTCATGGTCTGAGAGTCCTTTAGGTGCCTTTTGGCAAACTCCAAGCGGGCTGTCATGTGCCTTTTACTGAGGAGCGGCTTCCGTCTGGCCACTCTACCCTAAAGGCCTGATTGGTGGAGTGCTGTAGAGATGGATGTCCTTCTGGAAGGTTCTCCCCAGAGGAACTCTGGAGCTCTGTCAGAGTGAACATCGGGTTCAAGACCTTTCTCCCCTGATTGCTCCGTTTGGCCGGGCGGCCAGCTCTAGGAAGAGTCTTGGTGGTTCCAAACTTCTTCCATTTAAGAATGATGGAGGCCACTGTATTCTTGGGGACCTTCAATGCTGCAGAAATGTTTTGGTACCCTTCCCCAAATCTGTACCTTGACACAATCCTGTCTCGGAGCTCTACGTACAATTCCTTCAACCTCATGGCTTGGTTTTTGCTCTGACATGCACTGTCAACTGTGGGACCTTATATAGACAGGTGTGTGCCTTTCCAAATCATGTCCAATCAATTGCATTTACCACAGGTGTACTTCAATGAAGTTGTAGAAACATCTCAAGAATGATAAATGGAAACAGAATGCACTGGAGCTCCATTTCGAGTCTCATAGCAAAGGGTCTGAATACTTATGTAAATAAGTTTTTAATGATTTATTTATTTTATTCGAAAAACCTGTTTCTGCTTTGTCCTTATGGGGTATTGTGTGTAGATTGATGAGGAAAAACATTTATTTAATTCATTTTAGAATAAGGCTGTAACATAACAAAATGTGGAGAAAGTCAAGGGGTCTGAATACTTTCCGAATGCACTGTAGAGGGGCGCTGTTTTGCTCGCTCGGATGCTTTCTCCGGTGATATAGTTTCAGCAGAGAGGAAGAGGCTAAGCGAGAGGGCTCACTCTCGCCAAAATCTGTCCAGTATAAGCCCAATGTGTTTCTATGGGAATAATATGAAGACCTAAGCTTCTCGCCTGCCTTCCCACCTTTGGGACAAAGACTCCCATTGTCAGGCGGAGACATTAGCATCTCGTCATTATATACAGATCTCTGGTTTCAGCCTCTTGCGAATTGGAAAGGAAAGTTGGCAGGTGAACAGTGCGCTGTTAGAATGCTGCAGTGCCCTAAAGTAAATTGTCAGCCATAGAATATCATTAGCTTGCGCATGTCAATAGGTCTAGCTGATTGTATGTGGACACCCCTTCAAATGAGTGGATTTGGCTATTTCAGCCACACCCATTGCTGACAGGTGTATAAAATCGAGCACACAGCCATGCAATCTCCATAGACAAACATTGGCAGTAGAATGGTCTTACTGAAGAGCTCAGTGACTTTCATTGTGGCACCGTCATAGGATGCCGCCTTTCCAACAAGTCAGTTCGTCAAATTTCTGCAGCTCACAGAACGGGACCCCCGAGTGCTGAAGAAAAATCACTCACTGCCGAGTTCCAAACTGCCCCTGGAAGTAACGTCAGCACAAAAACTGTTCGCCGGGAGCTTCATGAAATGGGTTTCCATGGCCGAGCAGCCGCACACAAGCCTAAGATCACCATGCGCAATGCCAAGCGTCGGCTGGAGTGGTGTAAAGCTCGCTGCTATTGCACTCTGGAGCAGTGGAAACTGCTGGAGTGATGAATCACGCTTCACCATCTGGCAGTCCGACGGATGAATCTGGGTTTGGCGGATGCCAGGAAACGCTTCCTGCCATAATGCATAGTGCCAACTGTAAAGTTTGATGGAGGAGGAATAATGGTCTAGGGCTGTTTTTCATGGTTCGGGCTAGGCCCCTTAGTTCCAGTGAAGGGAAATCTTAACGCTACATACAGCATACAATGACATTCTAGACGATTCTGTGCTTCCAACTTTGTGGCAACAGTTTGGGGAAGGCCCTTTCCTGTTTCAGCATGACAATCCCCCCAAGCACAAAGCAAGATCTGTACAGAAATGGTTTGTCGAGATTGGTGTGGAAGAACTTGACTGGCCTGCACAGAGCCCTGACCTCAACCCCATCTAACACCTTTGGGATGAATTGGAACGCCGACTGCGAGCCATTCCTAATTGCCTAACATCAGTGCCCGACCTCACTAATGCTCTTGTGGCTCAATGGAAGCAAGTCCCCGCAGCAATGTTCCAAAATCTAATGGAAAGCCTTCCCAGAATAGTGGAGGCTGTTATAGCAGCAAAGGGGAGACCAATTCCATATTAATGCCATGATTTTGGAATGAGATGTTCGACGAGCAGGTTTCCACATACCTTACTTATTTCCCTCATTAAAATGCAAATCAATTTATAACATTTTTTACATGCGTTTTTCTGGATTTTGTTGTTGTTATTCTGTCTCTCACTGTTCAAATAAACCTACCATTAAAATTATAGACTGATCATGTCTTTGTCAGTGGGCAAACGTACAAAATCAGCAGGGGATCAAATACTTTTTTCCCTCACTGTATGTGTGAGGATAATGTGTCTTGGGTATAATTTAAAATGTTGCGTCAAAAAGAAGGGGAGGGGTGTGTGCTGGAGATATGGTGCGTCTCCCTCCAGAACGAATGTATATGTAGGAATGTGCCCATTTGGCAATGTGTGATTGCTGATTGTCTTAACTCACCACTAATTTTTTCTTCGTCTCACACAAGTCAATGAAGTCTGTTTTTTAACATCCATTGCAAATGATAGTTCCTTAGTATTAGAAAAATCTTTCCAACAATCTCCCCCTCGATAATCACCAAGCCTCGGTGTGAAAGAGCAAAATATCATGATCTGATGATCCCATATAGCCAGGAGAAACGTTTCCATATAGCCAGTGGAAACGTTCCCATACAGCCAGTGGAAACGTTCCCATACAGCCAGTGGAAACGTTCCCATATAGCCAGTGGAAACTTTCCCATATAGCCAGTGGAAACGTTCCCATACAGCCAGTGGAAACGTTCCCATACAGCCAGTGGAAACGTTCCCATATAGCCAGTGGAAACTTTCCCATATAGCCAGTGGAAACGTTCCCATACAGCCAGTGGAAACGTTCCCATACAGCCAGTGGAAACGTTCCCATATAGCCAGTGGAAACATTCCCATATAGCCAGTGGAAACGTTCCCATATAGCCAGTGGAAACGTTCCCATACAGCCAGTGGAAACGTTCCCATATAGCCAGTGGAAACGTTCCCATATAGCCAGTGGAAACGTTCCCATATAGCCAGTGGAAACGTTCCCATATAGCCAGTGGAAACGTTCCCATATAGCCAGTGGAAACGTTCCCATATAGCCAGTGGAAATGTTCCCATATAGCCAGTGGAAACGTCATAAAAAACAGCTTTATGTCCCGAGCTCACTGGCGCAGGAAACTCTGAGGGCCCGGAATAGACTAGTTGATACAATGTGGCAAGTTTTCTAGCAACAGCTTTTGGCCAGATTCAGTGATGATTTGACACAATGTTGCACTTCACTAGCAATAGCTCAAGTCAACACAGATAGAAAGGGAGGCAGACAGGCGGAGAAGAGAGATGAATGTGATTGAAAGAACCAGAATTTATCAGGATATTTTCTACTGTTTCTATTTGTCAGCTTTAGGACTATGTATTTTACTTACTTGACGATGGAAGTTACAGGCCTACCGCTGCATTGGCCTATAGGCCATCTCTGAGTTCTATGAGCTCATTTCTTTAGCCGCCAATGGATCACAGTGTATCAATGTGTCCATATGGAAGTGGCTGGCGCTCTCGCCATAGTTTCATTTTAACTTTTAGATTTTTATCATTTTACTTCCGATTTTTATGATTAACCAATGATTTTGAGAAACAAAATTATTATTATTGAAATGAAACTGTTCCAAGAAAATGAGCATATAAAAATTATGGAAGATCGGTAGAAATGGTAGGATAAATCGTAAGCTTCCCCGAACTTGAAACTCACGAGCTGCCTATGGTCTTTACAAATACAGCCATTAAATAAATTGTGAACACGCAAGCCGGGTCTGCTGCCGGGTCTGGTGTTTGTGTGTGTGTGTGTGTGTCAGAGAATCTGATTGGGTGCCAGGGTGAAGGGAACTCACCTTGACCAATGAGACGGTGGCGTCAGGGTTGGTGACCCTACAGGGGAAGACCAGTGGCTGGCTCTCCTTCATATACACCACGTCTGGACTGTCAATCTGCTCCTCCACAAATGGCTGCTGTCTGTCTGAAACCACAACACTGAGGTTAGGGATAGCTACACACACGCACATGGACACGCACAGACACACATGTCACAGACACACACACACGCATCACAGGTACACACAGACAGATGTCACAGAACACAACATCACGTGTGCATACTCATGTACGCACGCACGCACGCACGCATGCAAGCACACCCTCATAATCACGTATTGTATAGATGGCTATTCAGCAGAAAACAATCAACAATAAGCACACACATGCACACACACACACACACACACACACACACACCCACCCACCCACCCACCCACCCACCCATACAAAATACCATTCAGCAAACATTGATCTGGAGTCAACAATAAACACACACAGATTGTTTAGAGGTTATCAAAAAGCCAGTGTTCCTTCCAGATACATTGCGTTTCTTCCCTGTGCTCTAATATCACTGTGCCATTGAAAGACGTGGGTGGGTGGAGCTCACCTCATTGTTTGTCAGCTACTGTACTGTGTTATTCAAGGAAAGCATAATCTCTGAACAAAAGTACCCAAAGGACTAGTGGCCTGGACTACAGGGCTTCCTCCTGCTGCTTTGATTCCATATAAAGGAGCTAGCGAGGTTGCAGGAGGGACCGGAGGGTGAGAGCAGAGCGGGCAATGGAGTCGGACGCCTAATGGTCGTGGTGGCCGGAGCGATTGATGGACCCCAGGGGTCCTGTTGGCCAAACAGTAGCCCTACCCTGTGACCCTGGCTCCTCTCACTCCTCTGGCCCCCGGCCCAGCTCCATGCTCAGCCAGCCTACTCAGGACAGGGAAGGGCAGAGAGGGGCAGACAGGGCTGTCACTGTGCCTCCTCTGCCCCTGGATGGCCCTGGATCCTGCCTGGCCTTCATCCCCCCCCCCAGCCAGCTGGTCTGCACAAGCTCTGAGGACGCGGCTAGGGATGCCATCTGGGCCGGCAGCCTTGAGAGGGTTAACATGCTTAAATGTCTTACTCCCCCCCCCCCCCTGGGAAACTCTGCCTAAACCTGAGCCTTTCAGCAGCTGGGCTATTCCTGGCCCCGAGGTAGCACGTAAACGAAAGTAAAAAGGTTTTTATATATAGACCTGGGAGAGAGAGGCTAAGAAAAGAGACAGGCTAGCAGGGAGAAACTGTGCCAGAGTCATTACGAAGGATGTGTTGTTGGGACAAACAGTGTTTAGATATAATTGTCTCTCTGACATTGGTCTGTATTTAGCACCAACTACATCCTGTTTAACCTGAACCTATAAACATTGAGACAGAGACAGAGAGAGAAAGAGACTGACTGACCACTCCATTAGAGAGAGAGGGGGGAGGGAGCGAGAGAGAGAGAGAGAGAGAAAGAGCGAGAGAGAGAGAGAGAGAGAGAGAGAGAGAGAGAGAGAGAGAGAGAGAGAGAGAGGGGGGAGAGGGAGGGGTTAGAGGGGTTAGAGGGGGAGAGAGAAAGAGAGAAAGAGAGAGAAAAAGAGAGAAAGAGACAGAAAGAGAAAAAGTGTGATTGAGAAAGAGAGAGAGAGAGTTTAACAGAGAGAATCAGAGTGAGAAAGAGACAGATATAGAGGATTCATATCCTAAACCTGATTCCCATTTCTGACCTCTAGCATTTGTGAGTGGCTCTGACAGAGACTTGGGAGTACAAGACACTGCAATGAGCGAATCCCAGAGTGAGTTGGTAGTTGTTAGATGCTACCTGGCGCGTCTTACCTGTGACATAGACATAGACAGCGCTCTGCCTGCGCGTCCGTTGGCTGTACCGACACCGGAACGATCCTGTGTGCTGGGCCTGGGCGGAGCTAAGCGTCAGTTGGCTGCAGTAATGCTGGCTCTGCCTCCCACAGCGATAATCCTCCAATCGCAGCCTCTCCTGATCTCTGGCCACACCTCCAGGGAACGCCCACGACAGCTCCCACCGACCCCTGATTGGCCAAAGGTAAAATGGTATAAAACATTCCATCTCTCTCATCGCACCTCAACTTCTGAAAAGCTGACCATAAACTGGTCCATATAAAACAGGGGTGTCAAACATACGGCCCGCGGGCTTGATCCGGCCCGCAAGCCCATTCAATCTGTCCCGCGAGGTGGTTTGAGCAAAAAAAATAAAAAAAAATAAAAACATTTAAATTACGACATTTAAATTACTAAAACTACATTGAAACTGTGTAAAAATGATAATGGACCTACATTTACAGTCTCTTCACTCTGTCCAGCTAGCTAACCGTCATCTAACGAATGCTAGACAGTCAGGGAGCCCAATCTTTTGCAAGGAAATATAACACATTTGAAGTGCGGCCCTACGGACCTCGGTGAAGACAGAATGTGGCCCATGGGGCAAAATGAGATTGACGTCCCTGATATAAAAGCTCATCTGGCCAGAATCAGTGGCACCTTAATTGGGGAGGATGGGCTCATGGTAATGACTAGAGCGGAATATGTGAAAGGGTATGGAAACAATGTGTTTGATGCTATTCCATTTGCTCCATTCCGGACATGTTTATGAGCCGTCCTCCCCTAAGCAACCTCCTGTACTACCTGCCCCAGACTCACCTGCAGTGGATCGTCAGCGTCTGGTTGGCCTCCAGGACCAGCTGTCGACTCTTCACATCCAGAACAGGAACACTGAACTTCCCCTTAGGCTCCCTCTCCACTTTACCTGCAGGGAGAGAGAACAGAGATGTCTTATCGGCTGCAGGCCAGGCCGGCCCCCATACAGGGAGAGAGAACAGAGATGTCTTATTGGCTGCAGGCCAGGCTGGCCCCCATACAGGGAGAGAGAACAGAGATGTCTTATTGGCTGCAGGCCAGGCCGGCCCCCATACAGGGAGAGAGAACAGAGATGTCTTATTGGCTGCAGGCCAGGCTGGCCCCCATACAGGGAGAGAGAACAGAGATGTCTTATTGGCTGCAGGCCAGGCTGGCCCCCATACAGGGAGAGAGAACAGAGATGTCTTATCGGCTGCAGGCCAGGCTGGCCCCCATACAGGGAGAGAGAACAGAGATGTCTTATTGGCTGCAGGCCAGGCTGGCCCCCATACAGGGAGAGAGAACAGAGATGTCTTATTGGCTGCAGGCCAGGCTGGCCCCCATACAGGGAGAGAGAACAGAGATGTCTTATCGGCTGCAGGCCAGGCTGGCCCCCATACAGGGAGTGAGAACAGAGATGTCTTATTGGCTGCAGGCCAGGCCGGCCCCCATACAGGGAGAGAGAACAGAGATGTTTTATAGGCTGCAGGCCAGGCTGGCCCCCATACAGGGAGAGAGAACAGAGATGTCTTATCGGCTGCAGGCCAGGCCGGCCCCCATACAGGGAGAGAGAACAGAGATGTTTTATAGGCTGCAGGCCAGGCTGGCCCCCATACAGGGAGAGAGAACAGAGATGTTTTATAGGCTGCAGGCCAGGCTGGCCCCCATACAGGGAGAGAGAACAGAGATGTCTTATCGGCTGCAGGCCAGGCTGGCCCCCATACAGGGAGAGAGAACAGAGATGTCTTATTGGCTGCAGGCCAGGCTGGCCCCCCATACAGGGAGAGAGAACAGAGATGTTTTATAGGCTGCAGGCCAGGCTGGCCCCCATACAGGGAGAGAGAACAGAGATGTCTTATCGGCTGCAGGCCAGGCTGGCCCCCATACAGGGAGAGAGAACAGAGATGTTTTATAGGCTGCAGGCCAGGCTGGCCCCCATACAGGGAGAGAGAACAGAGATGTCTTATTGGCTGCAGGCCAGGCTGGCCCCCATACAGGGAGAGAGAACAGAGATGTTTTATAGGCTGCAGGCCAGGCTGGCCCCCCATACAGGGAGAGAGAACAGAGATGTTTTATAGGCTGCAGGCCAGGCTGGCCCCCATACAGGGAGAGAGAACAGAGATGTTTTATAGGCTGCAGGCCAGGCCGGCCCCCCATACAGGGAGAGAGAACAGAGATGTCTTATCGGCTGCAGGCCAGGCTGGCCCCCATACAGGGAGAGAGAAGAGAAGAGAGAATTTAGGCTGAAGCCCAGATCTCCCTCACAAGGCTGGTCCCCATATGCAGTGGTGGAAAAAGTACCCAATTGTCATACTTGAGTAAAAGTAAAGATACCTTAATAAAAAAATGACTCAAGTAAAAGTGAAATTTCACCCAGAAAAATACTACTCGAGTAAAAGTCTAAAAGTATTTGTTGCAAAAATATACTTAAGTATCAAAAGTAAAAGTATAAATCATTTCACATTCCTTATAATAAGCAAATCAGACGGCACAATTTTTGTTTAAAAAAAAATAGGGATAGCCAGGGGCACACTCCAACACTCAGGCATCATTTACAAATGAAGCATTTGTGTTTAGTGAGCCCTCCAGATCAGAGGCAGTAGGGATGCCCAGGGATGTTATCTTGAGAAGTGAGTGAATTGGACCATTTTCCTGTCCTGTTAAGCATTCAAAATGTAACGAGTACTTTTGGGTGTCAGGGAAAATGTAAAAAGTACATTATTTTCTTTTGGAATGTAGTGAAATAAAAGTAAAAGTAGTCATATATAAAAATACTAAAGTAAAGAGTACAGATACCCCAAAAAACGACTTAAGTAGTACTTGAAAGTATTTTTACTTAAGTACTTTACACCACTGCCCGTTTGTGCTCAGCAACCAGTAACTGTTGTTATTATGGGAGGAGATGACAAAGAATGCTATCTGAATCAGCTGTGCACAATGGTCAAAACTCTTTGGAAAAAACAACTGAGAATGAGATTCTTATAAGAGGAGTGTGCTGTATTCCAACACGACAGACCTCTGCAGTGCTATGACGGCACCCAACTGATAACAACATAATGGACACAGCGAAACCACCACTAGCACCATTGACCAGTACCACTGATCACTGTTACATTGCTGACCCTAGCTCTGGTCCAGGGCGTTAGTGAACGAATGCAAACTAAAGCCCTGTACCAGAGCTATGCTGACCCCAAAAAATATTATCCAAAAAACACCAGAGAACAATGCAATAACTGACCACAACACCGGGTGTTGACAGATCAACTGACAGTGTCATCACAGACACTCCCAGGCAGCAACACCACAGACACTCCCAGGCAGCAACACCACTGACCCTCGTCACTTCCTCGTTCCCATGCCAGTGAGACTACTTGATGACCACAGTGGAAATGTGTGAGCACTAAGCAGTGTCAATGTTGTATATCAAATAAAATCAACACCACCTCATGGTAGCTCAGATTAATGAATGAGAGATTAATGGTGCTGTCCATCCCCCCTTCCTTCCTCTCAGCCCAAAGGGAAACTTCATTCACACAGACACGTCCTTGAATCAGCCCCAAAAAACTAGATCACACTGCATCTAATTAGAACAAACACAAACCTAGTTCACACTGCATCCTATTGGAACAAACACAAACCTAGCTCACACTGCATCCTATTGGAACAAACACAAACCTAGTTCACACTGCATCCTATTGGAACAAACACAAACCTAGTTCACACTGCATCCTATTGGAACAAACACAAACCTAGTTCACACTGCATCCTATTGGAACAAACACAAACCTAGTTCACACTGCATCCTATTGGAACAAACACAAAACTAGTTCACACTGCATCCAATTAGAACAAACACAAACCTAGTTCACACTGCATCCTATTGGAACAAATACAAACCTAGTTCACACTGCATCCTATTGGAACAAACACAAACCTAGTTCACACTGCATCCTATTGGAACAAACACAAACCTAGTTCACACTGCATCCTATTGGAACAAACCTAGTTCACACTGCATCCTATTGGAACAAACACAAACCTAGATCACACTGCATCCTATTGGAACAAACACAAACGTAGTTCACTCTGCATCCTATTGGAACAAACACAAATCTAGTTCACACTGCATCCTATTGGAACAAACACAAACCTAGTTCACACTGCATCCTATTGGAACAAATACAAACCTAGTTCACACTGCATCCTATTGGAACAAACACAAACCTAGTTCACACTGCATCCTATTGGAACAAACACAAACCTAGTTCACACTGCATCCTATTGGAACAAATACAAATCTAGTTCACACTGCATCCTATTGGAACAAACACAAACCTAGTTCACACTGCATCCTATTGGAACAAACACAAATCTAGTTCACACTGCATCCTATTGGAACAAACACAAATCTAGTTCACACTGCATCCTATTGGAACAAACACAAACCTAGTTCACACTGCATCCTATTGGAACAAACACAAACCTAGTTCACACTGCATCCTATTGGAACAAACACAAACCTAGTGCACACTGCATCCTATTGGAACAAACACAAACCTAGTTCACACTGCATCCTATTGGAACAAACACAAACCTAGTTCACACTGCATCCTATTGGAACAAATACAAACCTAGTTCACACTGCATCCTATTGGAACAAACACAAACCTAGTTCACACTGCATCCTATTGGAACAAACACAAACCTAGTTCACACTGCATCCTATTGGAACAAACACAAACCTAGTTCACACTGCATCCTATTGGAACAAACACAAACCTAGTTCACACTGCATCCTATTGGAACAAATACAAACCTAGTTCACACTGCATCCTATTGGAACAAACACAAACCTAGTTCACACTGCATCCTATTGGAACAAACACAAACCTAGTTCACACTGCATCCTATTGGAACAAACACAAACCTAGTTCACACTGCATCATATTGGAACAAACACAAACCTAGTTCACACTGCATCCTATTGGAACAAATACAAACCTAGTTCACACTGCATCCTATTGGAACAAACACAAACCTAGTTCACACTGCATCCTATTGGAACAAACACAAACCTAGTTCACACTGCATCCTATTGGAACAAACACAAACCTAGTTCACACTGCATCCTATTGGAACAAACACAAACCTAGTTCACACTGCATCCTATTGGAACAAACACAAACCTAGTTCACATTGCATCCTATTGGAACAAACACAAACCTAGTTCACACTGCATCCTATTGGAACAAACACAAACCTAGTTCACATTGCATCCTATTGGAACAAATGCAAACCTAGTTCACACTGCATCCTATTGGAACAAACACAAACCTAGTTCACACTGCATCCTATTGGAACAAACACAAACCTAGTTCACACTGCATCCTATTGGAACAAACACAAACCTAGTTCACACTGCATCCTATTGGAACAAACACAAACCTAGTTCACACTGCATCCTATTGGAACAAACACAAACCTAGTTCACACTGCATCCTATTGGAACAAACACAAACCTAGTTCACACTGCATCCTATTGGAACAAATACAAACCTAGTTCACACTGCATCCTATTGGAACAAACACAAATCTAGTTCACTATACTGTACACTTGACTAAAATTGTTTTAGCTATAAAGAGAGAAAAAATAAAATTATGCATAATAATGTATTGAGCGATATAAAAATGACTGTAAAAGCATTGATTTAAAGGAGATGTGTTACAAAAGACCAATGAGTTGTGCCTTGCAGCAACATCAGGGTATGTGAATGTAGGATATACACTGATGACTGATCTGGCGTGGTTTCTAATCATAACTCGTCATACTACAGCTGACTGGGTGTGACTTCCTAGGCCCTCCTGCTTTGGGTAAAGCCTTTCTTTGGGTCCTCCATGTCATAACCAGCA